CAGAGGCCTCCAACAAAACAATTATCAATGGGATCAAGAAGAGGTTGGAGAAAGCCAAGGAAAAATGGGCGGATGAACTATTAAACATTTTGTGGGTGTACAGGACCACCCCTCGGTCCTCGACAGGAGAAACCCCATACTCCCTGGCATACGGAATGAAGGCAATTATACCTCTCGAAGTAGGGCTCCCGACCATAAGGACCCAAGCTTTCGACGAAGGGGGGAATGACCGTTAACTTGGATTGGATTTGGATCTAGTGGAAGAAAGAAGGGAGGCAGCCGCCTTGAGAATAACTAAGTATCAGGAGAAGATTTCCCAACTATACAACAGAAGGGTCAAGGCACGAGAATTCCGAATAGGCGATCTGGTCTTCAGAAGGGTAACGGCCAATACCCGTGATCCAACAGAAGGAAAAATGGAACCTAACTGGGAAGGGCCTTACAAAGTGATATCAATCGGGGGCGCCGGGTCATACAGATTAGAAGGCATGGATGGAAAACTTGTAATGCGACCATGAAATGTGATGAATCTAAAGAAATATTACTTTTGAAGTATTCTCTCTCTCAAGTGCTTGCCAACGACAAAGATAAAGGGTAAGGCCCTGGGTTCAAGGAATCCTGTCCCCAAAGCAAACACAAGAGCGTGTCTTTTGAATGGGCAAGCCCCCGAAGACAATTCAAAAAAAAAAAAAAACACTACTGTACGCAAAAAAGGAAAAAATACTCGTGCTTTATTTCAAGAAGAGGGGTTTTGCGTCCCCAAAGGCTACAAAAGAAAAAAGAGTATAATCAAAAAGAAAAAGGGGCTTTCATCTGGCCCCGGGCATCTCCACAATATCAGTCGAGGGCGAGTCAGCATAAAAAGGTTGAGAAGCTTCTGGAGCAGGCAGAAGGAAAGGTACTTCGGCAACAGAGAGACCTTGAGCAACATGAGGATCAAGGGCATGGTCCGGCGGGGCCTCTTCGGACAAGTCCACTATTATTGCCTCGGGCAGATCCGCCGAAACTTGCACCGGCGTTGGGATCTCATCCTCGGCAGCAATCTCTGCTTCGGCCCGTTCCATCTCCGCCGAGGGCACGTACTTGTGCATCTGGAAGAGCGAGGAGTCTGACGGGATTCCAGCAGACTGGAGCGCCTCGTCCCACCCTTTCTTGAAGAACTCCTTGCTGTTTTCCTCAAGAGCAGGGAGCACGTCATCGGCGAACTCTTCTCGGAGTTGCTCCTCCGACTTCCTGTTCAGTGCCTCGGCCCTGATCCTGTCCAGCTCCTGGGTGAGAGCCAGACAGCTTTCCTCTGAGCCAACCGCCCTCTCCTCCACCGCAGAGAGCCGCCGCATCTGCTCGGTGATCCTCCCTTCAGCATCAGCAAGGGCAGCACTTAGCTTTTCAGCGCCAACCTTAGCCAACTCGGCATCCTTGAGGAGTTGTTCGATTTGAGCAGCTTGCCCCGCCAGGGTAGAATCCCTGGCAGCTACGTCCTCCATAGCTCTGGCGAGGGCCCCCTCCGCTTCTTCCTTCTGCTCTCGAGCCCGCTGGAGGTCCATCCTAGACCCATGGTATCACGCAGCTATTATGGAGATCTGTTGGGTGGCCTACAAAGAAGGGAAAAGGCGTGTCACAAAAATGGAAAGCGAGAGAGAAGAAACCAAAGCAAAAATGAACTTACCACCAGGGAATTCTGGATGATCGAGCGAAACAACACGTTCGTTGATCGCCCCCTGTGAGCCGCCATGTCGGCCTCGAAATGCAGCGTCTCACTCACTGCATTAGCGACATGAGGGTCCAGCAAAATGGAGTCATCGACCCTGATCACTCGGTTCATGTGATCGGTGGCTCGGGGATTCCACTCTGCGGCTTCCACTGTCGGCGGAGGGGAAGGGGGAGTCTGCTGCTGCCGTTGTTGCTGTTGTTGTTGCTGTTGTCGTTGCTGTTGCTGTTGCTGTTGTTGCGGATGAGCAGGGGGTAACCCACGGCCTCTCCCGCTTTGCTGCTGAGCGGAAGATGCCCTGGATCCCCTGCCGAGGCCATCGTGCCTATGTTTGACCCTTCTCTCCTCTACCTGAGGATCCCGGTCACGCACTTGACCGCGATTGAGAACTCTTGAGGATGGGGTGGAGCCGGTCCCTGCAGATGGGGCGCCGCCGGTCGATCCTCGTCCCCTCCCGGCAGCAAGAGCTTGCCTCTGCCTCAGGAACCCCAGGTCAATACGAGGCGTGCTGGACATCGCGACCTTAAGGGCGTCCTCGGAGTCTAGAGATTGTAGGATTTGGAAGTCCGGCCACAAATCTCCTCCCGAAGTCCCCACCTCGGCGTCTGAAGGAACAAAGTCCTCTCTGACCCCGAGCTCTTTAACTTCTCCCTCTACTTCTGCCTCCGAAGCCCGATCAGGGTCTTCTTCCAAGTTTTCCTCGACCTCTTGCCTCGCCGCCTGATCGAAGAGTTCAGACCACCGCGAAGGCTCAAAAGGCTGAGGAAGATGTGAAAATTTCTTATACCCGAGGGTGTAATTCAGCAGGATGTGGGCAGCCCGGCCGAACCCGTTGTCACTAGTAAATCTCCAAACCGTGACTAGGTCGGCAAAGTTCACCAGCAACCGAGGGGGAGGAGCTGTTTCCCGAGCAGGGATATCTGCACAAACAAAAAAGTAGTCATGAACATAGGAAATCTGGAGAACAAAATAATAAACCCGAAGGAACCGACGAACTTGTCGTTCTCCATTCCAAAGGGCATAACAAGCCGTTATACTCGGGACCAACACCTCTCTGTCAAGATCCCTTGAAGATAAGAATATTGTCCTTGTACCCCTTGTCCGAGTCGGGAAGATGAGTTACAAGGTACATGGAGGGGTCCCTGGCTTTGAGGTAGAAGTGTTGTTGAGGCATGACTCTCAAGAGGGAATAACAAAAAAGGAGATCGTTCAGCCCAATATTTACCCCGAGACGCCTATTGAGCTCTAAGACCCCCATAATTATTCTGAAGACATTAAGGCAACACTGCCTGGAGAAGAGGCGGAAGTGAGAGAGGAACTGGAGAAGTAAAGGGGGTAAAGGAAACCTAATTCCGCCCTCTATTATAGCCTTAGTATAAAAGGGCATAGCATCCTCGGCCCCGAGGGTAGGAGAGTGCACCACCGGGTCATAATCCTCTATGTCTACGCACGGGGGAATGTTGTACTTGACCTTAAACCTATTAATCTGCTCACCACCCTTTACTTTATACTTCCCGACCCCGAAGAACCAACCTGAGGATTCTCGGGAGCAGGACGACGACGAGGCATCTCTAAGAAAGTGAGAAAATGGAGAGTGTTTTTCCTTAAAAATCCCTGAGGAAGCTTCCCGAGGATTAGTCGCTAAGTATCAACCGGAGACACCTCCAATCATCGGAAAACAAAAAGGGATAGGAGGAAGAGAAGAGGAAAGATACTAGGACTCACCCGAATGTCAAACGGAGTTTTTTCTGAAAAACTTTAGGCGACTCCTTCCAGAAAGTTCAGAAACAACGATGGGTCTGCTGGCCTTAAGACTTTAAGGAAAAATGGGCAGTTGACGATGGGGAGGAAAGAGATCTCCAGCGAAGATTCAGGAAAAGGCTCTCTTGAGGAAGTTCGGAATGGCGAAACAAGAAAATGGAAGAGGAACCCCATTTATATAGTGGCAGTTTCATCATTAGGCGCGAAAAACGAAAAGGCGCATTTAATGCAAACGACATCCTAAGCAGGGGAAAGCGGCTCGAGGCAATGATAAAGCATTTGTGGTTGTTGGGAAACCCTTCGTCTCCTTACGATGCGTGCCCTCGGTGTCAGAAGATCGAAGGCTGGGGGACAGTTGATGGAACTTTTCTGAAATACTCCATTATGAAGACACGTGTCCTCGGTATTACCAAAACACTGTTGCTAAGATCAAGCACAATCGGCTCACAAAGGTTCCTCGCTCCCGAGGTACTCGTCATATGGGATTATGGCATTCAGTACGTTTTACAACCGACACGTAGCCTCGGTCTGATATGGTACCTCGGTCAGTATACCTCCCTCGGTTCCGAGATGAGCCTTTCCTCGGTGCCTAGAGGTACCCCGTCCTGGACGCCTCCTCTGCTCCAGGATAAGCTATTGACATACAGGTCATTAGCCTAGGCTAGTCTAGGCTATTCATCATGACCTCGTCTTACACAATTAGTGTCAGAACGTACAGGAATGCAGGGGCCACAGCCAATGGGGGATGGACGCGTGGCATATGATGTCACATCAAAGACAGAAAAACCGCATGTCGTTGCTGACACGCGACTTAGGAAAACAAACGATTAATTACACCATTCCCTTGACGAGACTGCATTCAATGCAGTAAGGCTCGGAAATGAAAGGCAATAAATGTTCCTAATACAGAGCATTTATTGCATCCTCCCCGAGAGGAGTTCATTGTACCGTCGGCATCCCGATGACGCAGCATTGATTGCTCGGGACCCCGAGCAGTTAAGAAGAAAAGACATTTCTCATCAGAATCAGTGCGCACACTGCCTGTACCTAATGATCACCTACTGACTACACTGACAGTAATCATGAGCTTTTGAGGTATAAATACTCCTTGCAAAAGGCAAGACGGTATGCAACAAAAAACTCTTTACTACAATACACACTCAGTGTTTTCTTCTTCCTCTCTCTCTCTCAAAGACTGACTAGATCGTCGGAAGGGATACGCCAGAAAAAACTTTGGCGCCCTTCGTTCTTCTTTGTTCCAGGAACCTTTCTTCAGCCTTACTGGATCGTTCTTCCGCTCCCCCAGGGTCTCCCGTTGCCGTTCCAGGTTACCACCGGACCTCGCAGGCTGTTCCAAGCAGCGTGGTTGGTCACTCAACTGACTCACTCGAGTTCATCAAGGGAGAGATCTGTTCTCGTTTTCATATTGTGCGTGCACGCACACAAAGGATCATTTTGTTTCAATACGATCGACGCAGTTAAAACGTTTCGATTATTTTGAGATGTTTCGGTATATTTTGAAACCAAACAGTTAATCCTGACCCAAATGACAAAACATCTACTCCAACCAGAAAGGAAAAAAAAATCAAAACGTCCGAGAAAATTGACAGTACTAAGAATATCCCAAGATTACACATACAAGCAAACTCGTAAATTGCACGCTAGAAATGACCCAAAAAAGTAAAAGATGAAAAAAAAAATACCTGGACGTATTTGATGGAATCGTAACACCGAAGCTGTAGAATCCTCTGTTTATAAGCAAGCAAAACATCACCGACCTCAGCCGGAGAGAGATCGGACAAGTGAACCGGGTGAACCGGAGATTCAATCACCACATCGTGAAACCCAAACCCACTCACCTTCACATCACCGTCCCCAGAATCAGACTCAGGACTAGGGTACGTAGGAGGAGGATCAATGTCTCTACTTAGAGCTGGGTATAGGTTTTGAATGACCCTGATCTTCCAATCGGAGGAGGCAGAATCCGCTGGGACGCGGAAGATTTCCGGTGCACATTCGTGCTCGTGACCGATACAGAATGGGCAAACCGATTTGTTGTTGGAGGTGGTATTTGGGTTTGGTTTGGATTTGAAGTCGGACGGCCGACGAGCTCTCGCCCGAGAGAATATCACCCACCGATTGTTCACTGTGTCCTTCCTTATTTCTGGGCTCCGGTTTGGCGCTTCTGCCATCTTCTTTTCGTCTGTGAACCCTCACCTCAAGCTCCCCAACTCACCACAGGACAAAAAATTGGGCAACTGCCATCGGACAACGGGCACCCCAAAAATTTTAAAATTTGGGTTAATCTTATTTTATACCTTGAAAGATTGTTCGAATTTCAATTTATACCCTCAAAAGATTGTTCGAATCTCAATTTGTACCCTCAAAGATCAAAAATCTCAATTTATACCCTCAAAGATAAAAATTTGTATCAATGTGCACCCCCAAAGATCAAAAATCTCAATTTGCACCCTCAAAGATAGAAATTTATATCAATGTGCACCCCAAAGATAAAAAATCTCAATTTACACCCTCAAAGATAGAAATTTGTATCAATGTGCACCTAAAAACTAAATTGATAAATTATACCTAGATTCCCTCATACTTGTCACTTAATCATTTAGATCTCTTCACATTTAGAATATTACTCCTACATCTTATGACATTTGTGCACGTATAACACGTAACCCATTTTCATTGATATCTATTAATATAACCGTTAAAAAATATAATTTTATCCTAATAAAAAACTATAATTTCATATTACCCTTTATTTTATGGGTTTAATATATTCTAAAGTTCAAAATCTAGTTTACCATTTGAATGTCTAATAAAATGTAAATATTTATATAATGTTTTTCATATTACATTTTATATAAATATCTACATTTTATTAGACATTCAAATGGTAAGCTTGATTTTTAACTTTAGAGTATATTAAATCCACAAAATAAAGGTAATATAAAATTATAATTTTTTATTATGATAAAATCATATTTTTTAATGATTATATTAACAGATATCAACAAAAAGTGGTTATGTGTCACACATGCACAAACGTCATGAGATGTAAAGGGAATATTCTAAATGTGAAGGAGTTCAAATGATTAAGTGACAAACATGAGGGGGATCTAGGTATAATTTATCAATTTAATTTTAGGTGCATATTGATACAAATTTCTATCTTTGAGGGTGCAAATTGAGATTTTTTATCTTTGGGGATGCACATTGATTCAAACTTCTATCTTTGAGGGTGTAAATTAAAATTTTTTATCTTTGAGAGTGTAAATTGAGATTTGAACAATCTTTTAGCGTGCAAAATGAGATTAACCCTTAAAATTTTATAGGGGCAAGTATACTCAAACTCACTTAATTACTCGGACCTCCAGAAATTGAAAATATTATATACAGATTCTCTAAAATTTATAGGCGTGTAATATTTAGACTCTGTTATAAATATATTCGTTAATAAATTATACTTAAACTCCTCTAAAATTTGTGAGTATATAATAATTAAACCCTTTAAGTTTAAAATATTATACTTAGATAAAAAATACTCCAATCAAATATAAAATATAAAATATTTTTAATTTTACAACCAAAATTCATGTTCTATTGTATCATTTATTTAAATAAAATTAAAAATAAAATTTTAATTTTTTCTTAAAAAAATTGTAATTAGTATACAATTATACTATCTATTGAAAGAGTCTAAGTTATTCATAATAAAATATAAATTTTACATCCAAAATTCATGTTCTATTATGTCATTTGTTGAAATAAAATCAAAAATAAAAATTTATTTTTTTTAAAAAAAAACTTAGTTAGTATATATTTATATCGTCTATTAGAACAAAACTAAAAAACTAAACTAGGAGTAAAATTGTAATGGACACAATATCTTTTAGATTTAATTGGGATAGTTTGGTGTTTTAATTTAGTTGTTTAAACAACTAAATTAAATTTTAATAGACAATACAATTGTATATCAATTACAATTTTTTAAGAAAAAATTGAATTTTTATTTTTGATTTTATTTCAATAAATAGTACAATAGAACATTAATTTTTGTTGTAAATTTAAAATATTTTATATTTTATATTTGATTGGAGTATTTTTTGTCTAAGTATAATATTTTAAGTTTACAGGGTCAAACTATAATTTATTAACGGATATATTTACAACAGGAGTCTATGTGTTATACGTGTACAAACCTCAAAGAGTCTGTGTGTAATATTTCAAATGTCAGGGGTGTGAGTGATTAAGTGACATTGTGACAAATCTCAAAAAATCTGAGTGTAATTCTTCCGATTGTATAACATGAAATATTAGTTTTTTGGATTTTTTGCACTTTGTATCCCCAAAAGATTTTTTAATTTCTACTTTGTACTCCAAAAGTTATTTTTTTAACTTTACATCCTAGTTGTCATTAATTGATTTCAATGTGGGTCTTCCGTTTGAAATTCTGTTAAATTCGGAGTTATTTATGGCATGTGCAACTTAATTGGCACACAAAAAAAAAAGGTTTAAGTGCTTAATTGACACAAATATTATAATTTGAGGGTTATATGTGTAATTTATTCTAACTTTATTTAAAAAATTATAATTTTGGTACAATATTCCTTTTGGTATGAATATAGTAATTTTCACCTTTGGAAAAATCATGTTTGATATTTACCACAAAAGGTAATTTCACTTTTGAATATAATATTATTAGGCACAGTGCGCTTCTTAGGCACGCAGGGGAGCTAATTGGATCCCAACTATGTATTGAACAAACCTAAACTTTAGAGGATCCAAACTGTTTGGGCATGTTTGTTTTAGGGATTAAGAGATGGAATTAGGTTAATTTAATTATGTGTTGCTCTAATTCAAAGTTTGAATTAAGTTATATTGATCCAGTGTTAATTTTGATCATGTTTATTATTGTGATTTAACACATAATATCAAGTATTATTGAATACTTTGTTGTAAGCAGTGTTATTTTTAACGAGTTTAGTATTAAAAACATAATTACTTTATTACCGATATAAATCTAGATTTACGCCTAAAGGTGTCTATGGGTCGAGTAAGGCTAGGTTAGACTTGTGAAATTTTTTCTAGATGAATAAGATATGCTCAAATCCTTACTTGAGTAAATTATCGTGCAAACTGAGCCCGGACTTTGGATAGAGGTAGATTACCCGTAACTCAGTCTGCCACTCACTATGAGGGCCTACTAAGCGGGCTTTATATATATATATATATATATATATATATATATATATATATATATATATATATATATATATATATATATATATATAAAGTTTTCAACTTAGCATTTTTGTAAATTATATTTTTAAATTAAAAATAGAGTTAAAATAAATAAAAAGTAAATAATGAATAATTTTATTTAAGAGGAATTATTTAACATTTAAGTTAAGAGTAATGCTACTTGGACTCAAGTAAAGAGTCATTATCAATACCCTAGATTATTCAACTTAGTATTTAAGTAAATAGAGTTTTTTTTAAGAGAAATATGTCACATAACTTTCGATGGTCAATTTTTTTTTTTTTTGTCAAACGATGTGAGTGGATGGGCAAGTTGGGGGCTGTGTAGGTCGATTCTTAGGCGGGTTTTATTAAGTTTTTGTGGGTGGGCTAATGGCCTTGGTAAATGACCTTGGGGACAAACCTAAGTCATCTTTTAAATGATATTAAACTCAGGCTAAGATGGGTCAATTATCGGACTTCATAACTATTTTTGGGTTGGGTAATAAAATATGTGGTCCAACCTAACCCATGGACATATCTTATCCACACATTCATATAAAAGTTAAACATTATACAAACTATTAACCTCAAATTTGTGTTTGTCATTATCAATTTAATACCATATATTATGACCTTATCAGAACATAAATTTAGTATTATAATTATAATTGGATATTTTATCCCAATTTTGTTACAAAATATGCTTTGTTTCTACCCAAACCAAACATACTTTTTAAGTATAGTGGCATGCGGGGCATCTCATAATAATGAGAAGAAAGGAACAAAAAAAGAAAAAAATCGAAATTGGATATGAGTCAAGCATCAATTCCTAGGGGAAAAAGTTAAAGCAAAGTTAACAGACGAGGTTAAGAGCTTTGTGATCACAATAGTAAAAACTTATCGAAATAGTCTATAGACACTCTCTCCATTGCCCCACACTTTTTTCTCTTAAAAAAAAAAATAAAATAGTTGAAGCAAAGCTGGATCAAGCCCACAAAAAAGTGAATTTTGAACCCCCCCAAAAAAAAAAATCTCTCTCTATCTATCGAGTAAATATTAAATGTAATGGCGATACCATGTCACCATTAATGACATGATATGATCAACTAACAATAAAACTCCAGATGAAAAAGGTGAATCCTACTTGGGCTTGTATGACAGAAGGGTGGAGAGTTATTTGTTTACATAATATGTTAATTATTGATTTTTGTGGGATTCATCTACTTATTTATTTTAGTATCATTGGTTGATGATATCACATCACATTATCACGTGATACCACCGTTATAATGAATATTTTCTCTTTTCTCGGGGGTGGGCATGGGGTAGGATGCAAAGTGGCCCATAAACTGAGGGCTTGAGCTGGTTGTTGTGGCCATAGTTTGGGCCAAGTTCAAAAAGATGGGCTGACATTGTTTTGGTCCAAGGATTGATGTCATGGCCCATGTTTTATTATATGTAAATGTATTTTTCTATATTCATGAAATATCTTTGTACTAAGGTACCCGTGTAATACATGACCAAATGTGTGTACTTTTTTTCTTTTGGTGTAATTAAAATATAGTTAGTGGCTAAAGTGTAACTAGGTAGATTTATTGTGGTTATTGTTAAAATATATTCATTTTTTCTAAATATAAGTTATAAGGTAAATCAATGAATTGAAATGATTTTGGTTCGTTGTTATACTTTGTGTCCAGACTGCTCGAGTGGTTACGAGGTCACTCAAGCGGTCCCTATTTTATTGCCTTGGTTTAAATTATTATTTCATGTTTATAGTCATCGTCCTCCCATCGTTTTCTCATTACTTGAGCAATCGTTTGATTTTATCACTTCGATCTTTAAAGTATTTAATTCGTGTTTAAATGATTCATATACAGACGAACTGTTAAGTTTTTATCTGAATGATCACATATTAATCAAGTGATATCGTCTGAAA